GTCACTACATACTTGTATTTATTTCGCACAACTCAGCACTTTACAGGCTTGAATTCCTACAATCGTGCACTCAATGCCATGCGCACACCCGGCGACCCTGACTCCGTATTATATTATACTCTCTAATCCCGTGAAAGGATTGCATTATGCATCACTAATAAGGTTTCGTTTCACTACAGAACTACACTACTACAAAATTCTAAATCCATTGTCTGACATTTTGTAAGCACCCATCAAGGTTTTCGTACCGTGGTATGCGATTACTTTTATACCATTGTTTATGGTCGTTACGGCTTGTACAAAAAGTTGATGACACCCGCTCTGTTTGGTAAAATATTAGTGGTTTTTCTTTACGCTTTCACCACTTTACGTGTATAAAATTGATTACTTGCACCGTACAATAAATCACTTCTCGCGGCAATGGGTTTCATGGTCGCTTAATGATGACATTATTTCAAATTGGCTATTACGCAGTTACCTTATCCAACTGGACAAAACTTATATTCATGCTTCTCCCAACGTAATCACGAATACATTTTAATGCCTTGCTATTATAACGTTGCGCATAAGTAAAATAGTAAAATTTTACCGATAATGCTATCGTACTTAACCTAAATGTTTTTTTTTTTTAATGTTTCGAACAGTGAACGGTAGAAATCTAAAATTATTGTTTGTAGTCGATATCTTCTCCTTCTTATAGAAAGTGCCAGAAAAAAGCAGGAAGTTTCGACAGTTATTATTAAAATACAATATAAACAGCAAAACATGGGAGCATTCAACTTGGTGTTTATAATACTTACGCGTGTGAAACACATTGCCCGCTGCAACTCGATAGAGATGTTTGGAATACATTCGCTGAATTATTTCACGTTAATTGCTCTTCGTGTGTACCTAAAATGCGATAATTGGAAGTCGTGAGCTTATCTCGCTACACGGGGAGGAACTTAACAACTATAGCAATTAAGGACTAAGCTACAAAGCATTAAACCAACTGATATTAACTGGCTTTTATTCAACACAGCTCATTTTACAACTAGAATATTGATGAGTATATCTCATAGTTAAAACTTTAACGACTTAATCTCGTGGTCATTTTAATTTTATTGTCTCCGACGTTTGGGATACCTTGTAATAACGAAATTATTAATTATTAGTATGCAATCCATTAAATTAAAAGACATACCGACTTAATTTTTAATTTCCTTCAATTTAGAAATATTCGAAAAGTTTCATACTTTCTACATACCAATACACCGGCTGTTCGAAAAATTAAATTAAACATTCATTAAAAATCTAATTGACGATATAAATATTAATTCTTGTCTACAAAGTCAATACGGTCGTTATTCGTAACAAAACAAATAGTGAAAGTGTCGCACTTAGAACCGCGTCCGTCACAAAGCCATCCATTATTTAGCGTGAAAACATTTTAATACTAGTATTAACGTTGCATCAGACTAATTACCGGTGCCACTTATGATGATGGATTATAATATATGAGTTCAATGTTCTATCTGGCTTCGATTTACTAAAATATCATTAGCTAATGAGATCGTTCTGCGGTAGCACGCATGAGTTGCGAACAAGTATTTACTTTTTTGCTGAAAATGTTTTTATTCGACCATTTTTTTAAACATTACTTAGTGATGTTTTTTTTTTTAAATAAATTACTATCCTATAACCTGCCAACTAGTAAATTAAACTTTCCTGTATCATCGAAAGCTTTTGTTTATTACTATTAAAAACTTAAATAAGATAGTTATATATTTTTCTCCTGTTAAATTAGTAATGTTCTAATTTTAAGAGGACTAAGATATATAAATTATTACGATAATGCACGGTGGAAGCCTCTTCTAAAATCGAATCGGCAATTTGAAACCAAAAACAGCATATATTTGGTACGCTAATCACACATCGGTCTCTGTTTTGATGGAAATACCATAACATACATAAACTATGATATGAAATACCAGAGTACGGTGATAATTGCGTCGAAGATTGGATTCGATTATCAGCGAGAGAGTCATGAGTAGCTCCAGATAGAGGAAGGCTCTCATAACGTAAAATTTGCTAAAACAGTTATTATTATGTACTTATCACTACATAGTATAAAACAAAGTCGCTTTCTCTGTCCCTATACCCCTATGTATGCTTAAATCTTTAAAACTACGCAACGGATTTTGATGCGGTTTTTTTTTTAATAGATAAAGTGATTGAAGAGGAAGATTTATATGTATAATAACATCCATTAAATAGTGGAGAAATCAATAATAAATTACAGTTTCCGAAGCGAAGCGAGGGCGGGTCGCTAGTTTGCTATAAATAAAATTTAACCTTTTTGAACAATAAAATTCGAATGATTTGCAAAAATACACAACCCAAATACATAAAGAGCATGTAACACTTCCAATTTTATTACATCATCTGCCATTATAATCTAAGCCAAAGTTATAGCGTTCGTTTATGCAGATTATTATAGATATTTAATAAAAAGGTTAGTGTTAACAGTCTTAGTCGGTCATCGGTTTACCTACTTTTCAAATTCAATTAAATACGGTTCATTTGAAACCTGTTTATTTACACTTTGAGTCTTCTGCAAATTCTAAGTCTATATGGGCGGCGCATTTACGTTGTAGATGTCTATGGGCTCCAGTAACCACTTAATAACAGGTGGGCTGTGAGCTCGCCCACCCATCTGAGCAATATTTTTTTTTATTCTAAATGTCTTTATGATCAGGACACGTTACGGTCAATTTAATCACCTACACGGATAGTTAGTTCTGTTTTATACCTAACGGAAATCATAAAAATTATGACTTTGGCAATTTTAGTTTTACCAAAAGCGCATAGTCAATAACTATTGACATATCGATCGGTAGCGGCAAACATTACATACATATTTCAAATAACAGTTACTGTTCAAATATTTTAACAGAATCACGGTGACTGGTTACGACATTTCCACTCTTCACGCTACGGAATTCGAAACAGGAATGAAAGGTTTATCTTTAGCGGTATTTCTGTTTAATCTATAATCTGTTGAGTTTCCAAATAACTCCTTGAGTAAATTGGACTCCTTGAATACCTTAAATTTTATTTTTATTAATTTATTTTATTATTATTTATTTATTTATTTAATATATTTTGTACACACAGCTGTTAGAAAAAACACGACAATAAGGATACAGCGTACAAGGGCACTGCTTATATCATGCTGAAATCTCTTCCAGTAGGCCCCCAAAAAGAAAGAAGAATTAGGAACACAAACCTAGAGCATACAATAAACATTACATATAATAATATATACATATTACAAGATACAAAACAATATATATACATACAAATACACACACACACATATATATATTAGCTATATAAATATTATTTTTTTGTTGATTTTTTTTATTTAACAAAACATTGTTTATGTTTGTTCCCAAAATTATAGTGTCATTAGTAGTGCAACGTTGTCCGTACCTTTATGCCGAGTTTCCAGAGTGCAGATTATAGTCTTCGCTCCGTTTATAATCTTCTAATGCACTTGTTGACAGAGTGAGAAACTTGTCCGATAGACAATGAAGTGAAATCTGCGTCCGGTTTTGGTATTATTATAGATGTATTTTTATTAGTGCAAATGGGCAGACTAAGTGACGTTAAACAGTTACCACAGCTCATTTACATCACATCATGAGTTCGCCAAATGGACACATTAGTTTTAAATCTCAGTTCCGTTGGAATTATGGTTAGTTATTCCTCTCGTCATTACGAAATTGTTGCCGAACAGAAATTTGTATAATAAACCCACATAATCTTATTTGCTAAAATATATAATACTAAAAAATAATTATCAACTTAATTATTTTAATTTGTTTGGATATAAAAGTTTGTTGTGATACGCAATGAGTAAATTCTTAACAGCATCTATTCATATAACTGTGACTAATATTGAATAATCTTTGTTTTTCCTTTTTAGTGACTCCAGGTAGCACGCATTTTGAATAATTTCCTGTCAATTAAGCGATAAATGATAGCGATCATTAATTCTGCACCAAATTAACTACATATATCTCATTCGTTAGTTACATAAATTTTAATATTTATATTTATGATTTATTTAAATACTTCGTTTCGTCATAGCTCGACATTAAGCAGACTGAATAAAATATAATACATTTCACTTTCTATTCCAATTCCTTGTCAACTAAAGGCATATTACACTATCAATCATTTTATTTGATGGTTAATTAGATTGATATTATTAAATTAGTTGTAATTCCGTAACCAATTATTTTAGTGTAAGAGCACAAACAGTAGACACGGTCGCATTAGTTTATATATTATTACATGCTTAAGAATCTCGAAAGTTGTGTGCTTTAAAAATATCTCTCTATATTTAGTTTTATTAATGCAATTTCTCTATCAGGTTTAGCGAAACGCTTTTTCGCTTGACGGCTTCTTATTTTATCTACCGAATTAAAAGTGAAATAAAATTGAATTTTTAATTCTTAAAATAGTCCGTTTCTTATTAATGTAATTATTCGTCGGTGCATAAGTGCTCTGATATTATGTGCACACTCACATACTCTGAAATAGCATAACATATGTAGCGCATCAAACAGGACTCGGCATCCTTCTTTTGCCGACCTACTGCTAGATCCTTGAAGGGCTATTCTGGCTTCACCGGATGTGCAAACGCGTTCATAGGGCTAAGCCTGAAAAAGTTTGCTTACATTGGCCGTAGCAGTAGTTATAATAACATTTTAGTACAAACTGGTTAACAACAGATACACTGAATTGAAATAACGCAGTTTAAATTTGAATAAATCTAATTCTGGATCCTTCACTTTAACGATTGATAATCTCACTACGTGTTTGTTACACTGTTCTAATCGCTTATAAATATAGAATATTAAAATAGTTATAGCCCAAAAAATGTATTATAATTTAGTAGAGAAAATCATTTGGTATTAGATTACTACTGATTTCTATTTCGTTAATTTCAGATGCGGTCAAATAAAACTTAGCCATGCGAAGCGACATGGCATATCGCGGGCTGTCCCAACATGTGGAACTAGACCGAGCTGCCGATCCTCGGGACAGATTCACGTTGCAGGAGCTCATCGGCGAAGGCACATATGGCGAAGTATACTGTGCCAGAGATAAAAAGTCTGGTAGACGTGTAGCAGTCAAGGTAAACTATAATAACAGGGGTTAAAGTATGAAATTGCCGTTTTATTGTAATAGGTACTTCGAATTGACATAGAACTTTCATGGTTTTGATATTTGTGAGTGAAACTTTTTTCAAATGGTACCTATGAGGGTCTTCTTTTAGAAATGTGCAACATTCGATTATAGACTTTCAGTTGTTGTTTTATTCAGCTTAGACAAGAAAGAAGGATACTTCGAAAATTCGAGTGATTTTTGAATACGAGTTCGGACGCGGAACTAACGCTGCAGAAACAGCTCGCAATATCAATGTTGCGTTAGGAAAGTCTACTAATGAACGCACCGTGCTATTTTGGTTTTAAACGATTTCGTGATGGAAATTTTGATTTGAAGAACGTACCAGGTGGACGACCGCCCACACATGTGAACAACAATGAATTGAAAGAGATGGTTGAAACCGATCTGGGCCAAACTACCAAGGAATTAGCGGCATTGTTTAACGTTATCTTACCAACAATATTGACTCATTTTCGTCAAATCAATTTATAATATGAAAAATGGGTGTCCCATAATTTGACTGATCTGCAGAAAGAAACGCGTGTTGAAACTTGTGTTGCCTTGTTGAATGGATACAGAAATGAAGGAATATTAGATCGAATTGTGACATTTGGATTTTTTACGATAACAGCAAGCGAAAAATGCAATGGCTGACCCCAGGTCAAACACCGCAACAGTGTCCTAAAGCAAAGCTTACCAAATAAAACTGGTAACTGTTTGGTGGTCTCAGCATGGTGTTATTCACTATAGATTTCCCCGATCTGGCCAAGCAATAAAGGCAGATGCTTACTCTGCCGATCTTCGAACAATGATAGCAACTTGTAGTGAAACAGCCCTGACCCATGAATCGATCTATTATTGCTCAATGATAGCGCGAGACTCATACAGCACGAGAAACCGTTTTAACTCTACAGGAACTGCAATTAGAAACCATTCCTCACCCTCCGTATTCGCCAAACCTTGCTCCTACGGACTACCATTTTTTTCGTGATTTGGACAATTTTCTACGCGATAAAAAGTTTTCTTCCCAGGAGGAAGTACAAAATGCTTTCACACAGTTTGTAGAATCTAGATAACCAGAGTTCTATCGCAAAGGTATAAATGATCTTCCTATTAGACAGCAGCAATATATAGATAATAATGGTAGATATTTTGATCAAATAAATATGTTAAATGAAGAAAAAAAAACCAATTTCCATTTTTCAGTACTAATCGGCAATTTCATACTTTAACCCCTAATATAAATTATGAATTGATATATTACATATGACCATCCATTTTTTTATCAAAGTTCTTTGCGCGACTTTATATTCCAGAATCATTCGTGCAACATGAAATTTTTATGACTTAGTTTATTTTTTGCATAGAAAATCTACGGAAATACGGAACACAAACACGCAAGAAACAAACAGTGCGAAATTCGTATTGATTAAGTTACAAATCGCGTGACTCCCCCACAGATCCGTGTATTAGTCACAAGAAAGTTGTCGACCTTATCTGGCACAATCGATCACGTCAGCATTATTATACTCCCATAGCTTTTACTGCGAACGACTGCTACAGGCCAAGTATGCCAATTGCTATTTTCGTTGCGAACGTGACCTTTAAATAAACAATTTATGGGGGACCCAAACATTGATAAACAATACTGAAATAATCCGAGAGGAAAACTACATTGTTCGTAAAATAAATACGAGTAACTACATTAAAAATTCTGCAGGCAAATATCTCTATAAAACACTACGGCCTAAGTTTCTTAGACGATCTAGTTACGTTTAAATTATGTTTATTGTAATTTAAATTTTAAGTAGCTTTTATAAAACGTCTATTTATAACTTAATTAATGCACCCGCAACCTAAGCAGGCATGACTATTTTACAGTTTACACGGTGAACAATAAATTGGTCAGCACGTATTTTATGGTGGTATTGTTAACACACTATTCATAATTGATTGTATAGATGTTATCTCAAAAAACATTGATGTCAAGGCCATAAAACAATGCAGACTTTTTGCGCCTCACCATTTGCACGATTATTCGGAGTTGCATATTATTATTTTGAATATGAATTTTATGGTGGCTTTAATACAAATTTGGCTTTTTCAAATGTAGATCTTGGAAAACATAGCTGAAAATATAGAAGAAATCGAAGAAGAGTTTCTAGTTTTTAGAGACTTGTCTAGTCATCCGAATATACCGGAGTTTTTTGGTTTGTTCTTGAAACGCGGCGCCAGCTCAGACGACGACCAAATATGGTTTGTGATGGAGGTCAGTCTACTTTACTTTTGAATGACTTCATTATTTATTTGGGCGACTACTTAAATAGACTTTGTTACAGCTGTGCACCGGTGGTTCGGTAACTGATTTATGTGCTGGAATGCGAGCGCGCGGTACAAATATTACTGAACCACAACTTGCATATGTATTGCGGGGAACAGTTCGAGCACTAACTCACCTCCACGCTCACCGATGTATGCATCGTGATGTCAAAGGTCATAACATTCTTTTGACGGAAGATGCTGAGGTCAAACTTGTCGACTTTGGAGTTTCCTCACATTTGGCTGCTACAGCTGCGCGAAGAAATACTTCAGTCGGTACCCCATATTGGATGGCACCTGAGGTCGGTTAAAACTTTCTCTGTGAGCGGTCTCTTACAAATCTTTAACTAACTCTTAGTCACATTTTTTCAATGTTATGCAATAAATGATTTCGGCACAAACAAATTCAATACTTTTTGAAAGTTAAATTGTTCTCATTTTCATAAGCATAAGGTTGAAGGTCACTTTGTTTCCAGGTTATCGCATGTGAACAACAATTAGATGAGTCATACGACTGTAGATGTGATGTATGGTCAGTGGGTATAACCGCTATAGAACTGGCAGAAGGCGAACCTCCTTTATCGGGATTACATCCGATGCGAGCATTATTTCAAATACCAAGAAATCCGCCACCCAGCTTGTCTCATCCAGAAATATTTTCGCCACAACTTTCCGATTTTGTAGCAGACTGCTTAATAAAAGATATGAATCAAAGACCATTCGCGAGAGAGCTCCTGGAACATCCTCTGCTTCTTGCAGTTAGTAGCTTTGAAGACAAGGTACGTTTTATAGAGAGCCGACCATTTTTATTCACAAATCGCATTAATAGCTCAGTGACATAACAGGAATCACGACAATGACCACCACTGTCCACCTACGACATAAGGTTTAAAGTTGAACTTTATTAAAACAAGCTAATTGTTATCCTTGGAATCGAAGACTAACATAGTTGCATGATTACGAGCATACTGATTATCTCACTTATTAGGCCACGAATGCAATCTAAAATCCAGCTTTAACGAAAAAGGGGGGAAATTTATGTTGATTATTTGTAAATTTACAGATCCGGAAAGAGTTACAAGCTGAAATAAAACGACAGAGAGCAGAAGGACGAAGTTGTCGCGCTCCTGACGCAACTACAAAAAGGGGAAAATTGAAATCACACAGAAAAGCAAAACCTGAAAAAATGTATACTGACGACTTGGCAACGCTTGAAGTTTTAAGTGAAGATTCCATTGTTGAACAACTACAGAATAGATACAATCAAAATCAAATTTATACATATATTGGAGATATATTAGTGGCTGTTAATCCATTCACTGATATCGGCATTTATAACAGTAAGGTAGGATGTATTTGATTTTCACCGCAACACTATACATTTATTTAAAAGAGCTTAAAATTTATTTGCTGTAAATAGGATTACAAATTATACAATTTATAGACTCAACAGGTTTACCAAGGACGGTGTAGGTCGGATAATCCGCCTCACATCTTTGCCGTAGCTGATGCAGCCCATCAAGCACTAATGCATCAAAAACAAAACCAGGCCATAGTGATATCTGGCGAGAGTGGGGCTGGGAAAACTGAATCAGCAAATCTTTTATTAAAACATCTTGTCTTCCTGTCTAAGGTATATAAATACCCTATATGAACACCAATTACGAAAACTAATATTAAAAAGCTTCTTAATTCACACAAAATTATTGAAATTGCATTCTAGACTCAGAATCGTAATTTAGAAGAAAAAATTCTCCAAGTAAACCCAATAATGGAGGCATTCGGCAACGCTCGCACTGGAATAAACGCGAATAGTTCACGTTTCGGAAAATATCTAGATATGTCTATACTGGGAGTTGGAAGAATATCAGGAGCAAGGATATCAGTCTACCTTCTTGAGCAGTCTAGAGTTGTACACCAGGCTTTGTAAGTCACACCTAGTTGGTGTGGTTGTGAAATTATTGTACTTTGTTAATAAATGATGTGGTCAAGCGGTAATTTGTGGTTATCATTTTTATTTCAGAGGTGAAAGCAATTTCCACGTGTTCTACTATCTGTATGATGGCTTAGAGAGCGAGGGCCGCTGGAGAAAGTTTTATCTAGATGAGCAACTAAAATCTAGACATCGTTATCTTCAGCCCTTATCTGTGGTTCATAGAGAGCACAATGTTCATCGTTGGCGACAGCTCAATCAAGCCTTTAAAGTATAAAAATTTACGTAGTCTCGTTAGATTCATTAAAGTCATGTCATATTTTAATGATATTTCTTCTATTATTCAGGTAGTTGGATTTCTAGACGATGAAGTACAAATATTATACAAGATGCTCGCGGCAATATTACATCTCGGCGACATAGAGTTCGGTGAAACAGCTGGCGAAGATAATACTGATAACAGAGCAACTATAATAGACACTGCACCACTGCACAGAGGTTAGCTCATATACATTATATATTTAATTTGACTTATAGATTTTTAAAGGAATAATTGTGATGCGAAATTAGATAGGGCCTAGTAAAAATGGAATATTTTTTCAGCTTCTTGCCTATTGGGAGTTGAAACAGCAGATCTGCGTGAATGTTTAACAAGTAGCACAGTGGTCGCCCGAGGCGAAACTATAGCCCGTCACAGTTCACCCACTGAAGCTGCCGTTGCCCGAGACGCTACAGCTCGTGGTCTATATGCAAGAGCATTTGATAGAATCGTCGAAAGAATTAACGCACTCCTCTCTCAAAATAGACACCGGTGAGTCAATTAACACATTACTACAGTGAGTTTTAAAGAAAAAAACAAATTGAGTGCAAACTTTTTTTCTATTAATAGTCACGATCAACTCTCCATCGGCATTCTTGACATATTTGGGTTCGAAAACTTCAACAAAAATTCATTCGAGCAGCTCTGCATTAACATTGCCAACGAACAGATCCAGTATTACTTCAATCAACACATATTTACATGGGAGCAACAAGAATACATGGCTGAAGGTGTTCCAGTTGATCTTGTCGAATTTTCCGATAACAGACCTGTACTGGACATGTTACTGTCAAGACCAATGGGCTTATTAGCTCTGCTGGATGAAGAAAGTCGTTTTCCAAGAGCCACTGACAGAAGTCTTATTGGTAAGCATTGTGTACTTCCGAAAAATTGAAGGCGTTTTAAATTATTACAATCAGTATGTTTTTTTTTTTTGTAGAAAAGTTTCATAGTAATCTCAAAAGCAAATATTACGTTCGGCCAAAATCTGATGCAATTTGTTTTGCAATCCATCATTTTGCTGGTCGAGTCGTGTATCAGGCAGATGGGTTCTTAGAGAAGAATCGTAACTTTTTGCCTCCTGAAGTCGTTCAGCTGATGCGACAGAGTCAATTCGATATCATACGGTTCTTATTTCAATGTCCAATCACGAAGACAGGGAATCTATATTCACCGCTACAAGGAGATATGGATAGAAGCTTGGAAAGTCCTTCTGGGGACACTCGAGTAAGTACACAATTGTGAGTGATATTCGTCCTGAACATATCATCATGACAGTCGCTCTATAAAATCCCTTATTCCTTTTTCTTATTCTTTGCTTTAATTCCTTATTCTTTGCTTTTTTAATGAAACCTATTTAGTTTAGTGATGTTAAAATATTTCACTATTCTGACTCGTCTATATTAACGAAAATTATCATTTACTTGTATTAAACAATATGTATAAAAGAATAAGTCAAGTAAGTTTTAAATTTAGCTACAGACACTAATTTTTTTTTACAGTATCCTAGCAATTGTATATGTCAATAAGCGACGGTGGTAGCTTACGATCGGTTGGTAAATAGCAACTAGCTGCAATTTAAGTTGCTTTATAACAGCTTAAATGAACTCATCTAGGATCATTGGGAATAGAAATATTGCAAGCAGACGCGTTTTAAGTCATATTTAACTTTTTAGGATCGATTTAACAGTCGAGGACTTGCATCGCAATCACGAGCCCAGCAAACAGTCTCAACATACTTCCGATACTCGTTGATGGAGCTTCTACAGAAGATGGTGAGCGGCACTCCTCAGTTCGTGAGATGTCTAAAGCCGAACGACTCCAGATCTCCAAAGCACTTCGATCCGCCCAAAATACTAAAACAGCTTCGATACACTGGAGTATTAGAGACTATCAGGATAAGACAAAATGGTTTTTCCCATCGATTGAGTTTCGAAGAATTCTTGAAGCGGTATGTATGTTACCTCAGCTAAAAGGACTGTGTAGTTAGTTCTATACAAATTATTGCTCGATATAATAGACATGAACATATTCACGACTTCTACTTTTCAATATAATTATACGCTAATATTCTCGCAATATAGTTTTGTTAAAACTACACTAAATATATGAATGTTACCTTTCAGATATGGCTTTTTGGCTTTTAGTCATGATGAAGAAATAAAGCCCAGTCGGGACACAAGTCGTCTACTGCTGCTCAGATTGAAGATGGACGGCTGGGCCCTCGGCAAATCCAAAGTGTTCCTCAAGTACTACCACGTTGAAAGACTCGCCAGAATCTACGAGGAACAGGTACTAACTACTAGGTGCTTGAATTAGAAACTCAAGTTCCTCTAACAATTTCATTTTGAAATTCAGACACTATATTTGAGTTTTAACTAAGACTTACCGGCCGAAGGGTGCTATGTAATCCTGCGCGAATAGCTAACACTATCCTACTTAATTCTGCCGCCAAACATAATGAGTTACGACTTGAAGGGCGGTAGAACCGTTGTTAAACTAGACAATTGAAACATAGACTTTATGTCTTAACGTGGTTAGCAGCCTCCAGTTTGTATGGCTTCTGGTAACCATCTAACAAAAAAAAGGAGTGCCGGGCACACGGCCATGATATAAAAATATCCTAATAATGTGTTTTTTGTTTGGGCCTTTGTGAACCCGGCTTTTCATTCGGCACATATCACCAAGTGGGGTTATTTTTTTATTTTTTTATTGCTTAGATGGGTGGACGAGCTCACAGCCCACCCGGTGTTAAGTGGTTACTGGAGCTTATAGACATCTACAACGTAAATGCGCCACGCACCTTGAGATATAAGTTCTAAGGTCTCAGTATGGTTACAACGGCTGCCCTATTCTTCAAGCCGAAACGCATTACTGCTTCACGGCAGAAATAGGCAGGTTCATAAAATCCATTAAGAGAACCTTCGAATAATACGACAGTATTCCTACCGATGTGAAATTTCAAACGTGATTATTGATTAATTTCAGATAAGGAAAGTGATCCTGGTGCAAGCCTGCGTCAGGGGGTGGCTGGCTCGCCGCTACGTGGAGCGGCTGAAGGTACAGATGGCCATCTCGGTGCTGACCCTCCAGCGACACGTGCGCGGTTGGCTCACCAGAAAGCGAATCCGCGACCGACAGCGTCAGCTAGCCAGGGAGTTCCACGATGAACAGATGTGCGACAGTCAGGGGATGCACAAATCTGGTTAGTTTGTTTTATTAGTAACTAGCAGCCCGCTCCGGCTCCGCTCGGGTCTTTAACAAAAATTTCAACAAGATTTTTGACGTTGTTTTATTTTTTAAATATAATAACATTTATTGCGACATAATTATAATATAATAGTTAGACAATATACTGTCGCGACACTATTTGTAAATAATAATGTGTTCTACAAAGTTTTACATTATTTTATCCTATTATCAATAGTTTTCGCAGGGCACGCGATGTAAAGAACATTTTAGGTTATTTTTTTACACCTTAGGTTACATTATTAGAGTTTCAGTAAGGATCCCTAATTTTTTTTAAGATGACACTGGGGAATAGGGTAGCTTGCAAACAGTAAAAGAATTTTTCAAATTGGTTCAGTAGTTTCGAAGCCTATTCAATACAAACAAACAAACAAATCTTTCCTCTTTATAATATTATTATAGACAAATATTAATATTTCTACAGAGTGTTCTCGAAGAGCAATCAGGATGGTGATAGCATATCATTTTTAGCTTTATTTCACGCGTCTAATATAATACAGTAGATTATTATGGGTTTTTTTCTTTCACACATGATGATTATTTGAAAAGAGAGTACTTTACATAATTTCGGACAGGAACAGGGATAAATTCGTCCATGCGGGCGTTGAGCCTCTAACTGTCCTTTTTTATTTTTTGTTATTAAATAAATGGGCGAACGACCTCACAACCAGCAGTGCTTCATAGAACCCTTGGACATCACGACGTGCATGTCACCATCCACCTTGAGACATGTGGTCTAAGTCCCAATTACATCTCATTACGTCTCAAGTATATAAATTATCGCACCCTAAAATCTAGATATCGTGACTGCTTCGCTGCAGATATAGGCAGATGATTATAGCTACCAGTGTGGCTTACTTAAGTAAATTAGCCGATTACAGGTCGCTGTACTTTGGTAATAATAATCAGAAAACACTGCGGTTTATTCTGCAGTAAATCATTAAATTGCTTCTTATAGCCACGAGAAAAAACGTGGTGAGCTATCTAAGTCCAGACTACAAAGCCAATTACTTCACGAGTCGAAATTTTGTTTGAAATCACATACGTATATTAAAATCGCAAGAAATACACAATGAATGCAGCTTTTCTGGATAAAATAATTGGTTTACATATTCGTTCGAGATATTTTTCGTAAAAATACTTTTGATGTTTTTTTAGTTTTAGTAAATCTCCACTATTACATACAATATTAATATTGTCCATTGATTAGGCTTTGCAAAATCATTAAATATAACATATTGTTGGTGTGTAAAATTATCTTTTAAATTAACTACAAAATGTATCTTCGTATTTTCAGGTGCTCCGCTTAAAAACAAAGCGATGATGAAAGCCAAGATACTAAGGAAAATGACATCACAAGACGGGGAAACAAACAAAGCGAATTCCGGAAACAAAGAGAACATCGACACCAATAGAGCAGCTGTCGTTATACAAAGTCGTATGTATTGATAAATTATGTCATAAATATTAATTTTGTAATTGAGTATTTCGTCCCCGCCAATTTTCGCAGGGACCGACACAGAACATATAAAACGACTCGAGCGCGATCTATCCTACCACGATAGGGTAAATTTAGAAAGAGTGGACAACATATTGAATTTTTATAAAAAAAAAATACAGTGAGAAAGAATACGTTATGACGTTTGAATCTGACTTCACCTCATTTTAGGGAGTTACGCATTACGACTTATCGTATCGTAAGAAAGCCGAAATCTCACACCAGCCAGTTTTGTTTACCAGCTCTGCCCTAATAAAGCAGTCTCAATTTAAAAAAAAAAACTCAATATTGTAAATTTATTTTCAGATTTCCGTGGGTATACAGCCCGTCGCAAATGGGCGAAGGGACGCGCTCCTCCACCCCCCGCGCACCCGCCACCCGCTGTGCCCTCCACGCCTTCTTCGCCGCACCAACAACTCATGCAACAGTACTCAATTCAGGAACGAGCATCCCAACTACAGACTTTCGCAGAACAAGTCAGTCTTGTATTATTCTTTCCATCTCCTACTAGATACAAAAAGAAAGATAAGTTCACGAAACACCTGATGCTATCGGAGTTTGTCTTCAGATAATAATATGAGGACGAAGACTAAATTTTTATTCATGATGTCATGATCTGGTCTACAGTTTATAACGGGTTATTTCTAAACAACTAAATTTTCTACTTCAAAACTTCCAGGGGTTAACGCCAAACGGTCTATAAAATCATCCGCCAATCCACACTAGTAACGTAAACATATACAAACATACGTGCGTAAAGTAAACATCTCCTAAAAACAATAAACCGTTACCTCCTTGGGTTAAATGGTTCATTTCTTTACAATAAACAGAAAAGCTAACAGCTCATCTCGGAGCAGTAACGAAATAAATAAAAATCAAATTAATTCTTACTTCAAATGAGGTTTGAAAAAAATAGTTTCGCTAAAAATCCCTTGAACTGGTCGCTTTTTTTTTCTACTTAACTAGTAGGTGAGCTCGCGGGGCTCAAACCTGACGACGTTGCTATAACGAACCCTAGCAAGAGCCGTGCTTCGCAGAATCTACTACCGGATAGGAAACGCGACCCACTGAGAAGATCCGGCGAGAAACTCAGTGGGCTATGTCTGTGGGTTAATTTATTCGTCGAGCCCTTCGTCGCGAGCGACGGGTTCGACGACAACGATGACCGGAACTGGTCGCTTTATTGCACGTAACGTATTAAATGAACAGGTCCACAACAAAAACCAAGAAGTCCACAAGAACCTACGTCACAACAAGCCCGGCATCCGGCTACAGTCAGTTCAGCGTCCGCCCGAAGAGTACCGAGCGCCTCCCGGCTTCACACTCGTCCCATCCATCGTACGAGGACAACCGTCACAAATCGAACAAGACGCCAGCAGACTCTCTAGGTATGTATATGTATACATATAATCTTTTTAACTCTTTGATTGCCATGTAGCTCACGGATACCCTACGTGGCGCATTAAAGTAATTATATCGATTTCTGTCACTAAGACGCCGGAATATCTAGTAGACTCTAGGAAAGGGCTCTGAAGGTACTGAAAATGAATCTATTCCTAAGAGACCTAAAAGATTAAAATATACATTAAAAACAAAAGAAGGCAGAGTTCGGCAATCGAGGAACTTAGTGAAAGCAGTCAAAGGATTAAGTGCTTTTTTAAGTTCTTCTTCAGAAATAAACAAAATACTTTACGTAACAATCGTATACGGAGAAGGTTAAACGATCACTAGTTTCAGGTATTTTTTCTTCAAATATGTAATTGTTATCTAGAGGTCTGTTCTCGTTAGGTTCAATTCACTTGAAAATTCATAAAAATACTCACAAAACCGCAGATAAATCTATTCAAAGTGCTATCTATAAATAGCCTACATGTTTAAATCAACGACTATGTGAACGTTGAAGGTGCGTGAGTTTTTTTTTATTGCTTAGATGGGTGGACGAGCTCACAGCCCACCTCGTGTTAAGTGCTTACTGGAGCCCATAGATATCTACAACGTAAATGCCGCCACCAACCTTGAGATATGAGTTCTAAGGTCTCAGTATAGTTACAACGGCTGCCCCACCCTTCAAACCGAAACGCATTGCTGCTTCTTTCTCGGCAGAAATAGGGGTACTTACCCGTGCGGACTCACAAGAGGTCCTAAAACGAGTAAATTTGAATTATAATATAGAACAGATCTTTGACCAGTGCTTGGTAATCCAGATTTATTTCGTCTGGTTCAAACCTCTCTTTGTTATTTTTTATGTTTGCCAGTTCTTGGCAATTAAATTTTAAATCTGTGGTGAAATCATGATGAATTAAAAGCGTCTGGGGTTTTCACTAAGCTGACTTACTTAAATAATAAAAATGTTTCGGTATATCTTTTTGGAGTTTTGACTCTGGTATCGAATTTTGGGAAACGAAATCACATATTTAGTATTCGTTATTCATGACATATGTAAATGTTGTACAAGCAACCAGTTAGTGGAATAGAATAACAATGACGCAGATGAAATATACCGAATAAAAGAAACACAAAATTTTACTTAAATTTTTCTATAAAACACAATATTTATATTATAAAATTTGATGTTAGTAGTAAAGACATAGGTATTATTGATGTCCGTAAATGTGATATAAATTAGATTACAAAATGATTAAAAATTGAGATGAGTCAATAAAAACGAACACGTAATTCAGTTTACGGTACACACTTTCACTATTATATATTCACTATATAAACTTAATATTACAATTCTTACACGCTTTCTCTGTGGCATTCGACTCTTGACAGTCCATCACCTGAATTTTTGGAAAGTCCTGCGAAGCCGTGGGATGAGCCGCTAAAAAGCAAAATAGATTATGACCTAACATTAAGTCGGAACAGGTTTGTCCTTTAAATTTATGTATATACGTATGGCAATTGAAAGAAAAACATGCCATTTTTGTTTTCTTTAGTATAAAATCAAATAGAAATTTACTTGGTAAGTTAGTACTAGTATCTCGCCAATTTCATTTATTTCACAAAACGAGTGCGCTTTTCACCTTTTTTGAAACAACTTATAACGCTAATGACATTTAGTCTAGATTTTAATTAATTTGTCAACTTAAGTCTGGTTTTAACCTTTATCGAATAGTAAAATAATTGTAATGTCCAAATATGTAGATGTGCTAATAAATAAATACAATGTATGCTAATGTAGGTACTTGCTATTTTACTAATATAACTATAATATAAATAGGTATATTATAGGTATATGCTTGATGACAATTATGCCACGGTGAGGAAGTATCCATAAATAGTCGAAGGTAAAATTGCTAAGTACGCGAAGTAAACGAAGTCGTCGTGGCCTAAGCGATAAGACGTCCGGTGCATTCGTGTTGAGCGATGCACCGGTGTTCGAATCTCAGGCGGGTACCAATTTTTCTAATGAAATACGTACTCAACAAATGTTCACGATTGACTTCCACGGTGAAGGAATAACATCGTGTAATCAAAATCAAACCCGCAAAATTATAATTTGCGTAATTACTGGTGGTAGGACCTCTTGTGAGCCCGCGCGGGTAGGTACCACCACCCTGCCTATTTCTGCCGTGAAGCAGTAATGCGTTTCGGCTTGAAGGGTGGGGCAGCCGTTGTAACTATACTGAGACCCTTAGAAGTTATATCTCAAGGTGTGTGGCGCATTTACGTTGTAGATGTCTATGGGCTCCAGTAACCACTTAACACCAGGTGGGCTGTGAGCTCGTCCACACATCTAAGCAATAAAAAAATAAAAATAAAGTACCATTTTCTCCTGTGTTTTTCAAATGATTCCCTTTTTTATTTGTTTTCTTTTGTTGTGTGTTTGTTCACTATTGACGATTTTAGCACTATTATTAAACAACGCAAGGAAGAACTAGTTCCTTTTTCAAAAAGTCAATAAGACAAGCGAAAATTTACCACATAAATTTAATCTAAATCTTGAAATGACAGTAATTATGGTGGAATTTCAATCATTTCGCCAACATTTTTTTTCTATATAAGTAGTGTTTAGTAGTTACCGAGGTCGATAGACACCAACCATGAGGTCGAAGCGTAACTTGAGGCCTAAGCTTCGATTCACTATATATTATAGACCGTAAGACTCATGTAATATCAAGTATCCTACTCTACAAATTAGAAGATATGGCACAATACGCCCTAGCACCCGAACTTGATGTAGGAATTTCGGTAGTAAGTAAGGAGTATCACTTGTATCAACGAATGGTGTAAAATACTCACATGTAGTGCCTTAAGGATTCCGTACTACGGAGTATCCAATTTACAGATAAAAAGGATGCTATTTAAGACAGGCGTAGGTCAGGCCATTTTGTCATGTAAACTACTAAGAACTCTTAGGTAGAACCTACATGACATACCGTTCCATCTATAATTCTAGAACTTAATGGAATGGCTATGAACTCAACAGTTTCAAATTATTTGTAATAAATGTGATAGTAGAATGCAGATCAATTGACAAAATCATAGTTTTTGCATAACTACTGATCGTACGGTTAGGTTCTTCTACATCTTGTCGTGAATGTTAGTAATGTGTTCCAGTTTGAAGGGTTAAACAGCCTTCATAGAATATAATTGAGACTACAACCTCATGTTTCAAAATGAGTCACGCTATTCACGTTTTGATGTCTATGAGCCTTAGTACCCTCCTACACCAGGTTGACCGTGAGCTAATTCGCCATTTCTAATTTGATGTTCCATCAGGTATCAGCAAGTGAGCAACGGACACGAACCAGTCGTGGAAGAACGTCATCGCCAATCGAGTCAGAGCCGGCAGAATTTACCGTGCAGCCGTCAATGCAGCGGCCTCGTCAGGTACGAGAACTATGTCGCCAACTACTGGCCCTGATTATAATTAAGTACATTTACGTTTCTCTCGCATGTCTTACTCACTAACCGGATCAATAGAAACGATGGGTACGTAACTTATCATAAGCAATTTGTGTGACGTTCTTTGCTAGTGTTTTGCTAATACGTACTATTATATAATAAAATTATGTATGGTAATCGCAACAAACAAATATCTGTAAAGTCAACAGTGGTCAGATTTTAGTAACATAATTAGTTCGAATTCGTAATTTAAATATTCTTTCTGTGATTTATTTTCAATCACACATTTGGTTGCATTAATTATGTTGATAAATTTTAAAATGTTTAAATTAAATACTTAATGAAAATATAGTTCTTTTTTATTTATTTACTATCTTGTTATCAATGGATTGATTAATATTCTTTGTTTTATTTTATTTTCAAAGAGTCAAGAGTCAAAAGATTTTGCTCTTACGCCTGGCATAAACATACAATAACATTTTCTATGCCTGAATGAATTTACATATATTAATTAGATTAAGATTGCACATGTGGATTTTCCATTTGGTAAATATGACGCTCTAACCATCAGATTTTTCAGATCAGCTTAAAAGGCCATATTATTATTATCTGATGGTTTCGATTCAATTAGTAATTATTTATGGTTTATTTGTTTTCAACAGCAACAAGATTAGCGAACTGGTCCGGAACTCTCGTAAGGCGGAGCCTCCGAAGCCCGTATACAATATCACTCACGATCCGGAATCAACACTACGAAAGATCCTTCGCAACTCCCCGCAAATACTTGCAACGCCGATGTTCAGTTCCGATGACGATTACACCGAAGGCCCGTTTAGATTTAAGCAGCTACTGAGGCCCACACTGGGACCTACGGAGAGCTTGCGGAAGAGAAAGGTCAGGAATTCGCCAGGACAGAGCCCCTGGATGTCTGACAGTTCGCAAGAGAGTGTCAACCCTAAGCAGGCCTTCAATAAACGCCGTCCCCAAATTTGTATGGGTGTCTATTATAATTGAGCAATTGTGGCGCATTGCAGTATTGAAATAATGAGTTGTCACGTGTGGTGTGTACTGTCGTGTACAATATCATTACTTTTATAGGTGTTTCAAATACATGTTTTTAAGATTAAATTTAGTACGACAAAAAAATCAGCACTTTCCTAAAAAAAATACTTGGAACGAGTTTTAAAAAATCGTTTTGTGCTGATTAAAAAAATTTATATCACCTAATTAGATTCAGTCTTTTATATTTTGCATTTAGTTACGTGATATTTTTTTATTGCCCTTGTAGGCATTCGAACATACGGCCCACCTGATGTTGAGTGGTTACCGCCGCCCATAGATTTCAGCAATGCCAGGGGAAGAGACAAACCGCTGCCTACTGATACTTCATATTATACTTTTTACTTATATATTATACTTTATACTAAATATTATTATACATTATTCAAAAACTAAGTTTTGTCTTCTTCTCAATTAGCAATTTATTTGTTTATTTAAATTACCTCAACCAGACTGATATATTACTGAATAAGAAATTTGGAAAAAATAAAATCAATTGGTATCGTTGAAATTTATTTTCTAAAATTGGTGTTGTTTTTGTATTCGACTATTAAATTTTTGCTGACTTTCATATCTTGAATCATCATACTAAATTCATCGGTTTAGCAATAATAGGATATTAAGAAATAAATGTATTTAATAAAATACATTAAAATCATGTATATTATAGTTATATAGTGACATAAGTTCTTAATACTACTACTATCAATGAAACACCTTGCTAATATTTTATAAACATTTTTGTCGTTAATTACAAATACCAAAGTTATGTTTAAAGAATATTTTGATGAAAATATGTTGATATTATACGCTTTATCATTGCGGGAATATCGAGAAGTAAATCATTGACGACTATTGTGATAACGTGCCAATGATTATGTTAATAAGAAAACGTTTTGCTCGCGTAGTTTGAAAAAGTATGTGAAAAAATAAAATTAATCCTTAAACTGTGTTTTATTATTTACTTTCCTTTTATCGATATTCGATTAATACATCAGAAACAACAGCAAAGAATGGACGCGCACGTGTTCGTCGGTCAGTCAAAAGTTGCAGTGTAACAACATCGGAAGCGTATAACAATATGAAAACACGTACGCGTAAGTTCATACGTAATCAAAACAAAGTGAAGCACGTGAAGCTAGGAGTATTTAGATGCTAGTTGATTGTAAACGATAGCCAGGTGGCGGGCGGCGGAGGCGGAGAGGTGGCCAATGAGGGCGGCGCGGAATATTGCGCGCGCACACGCGCAGTCGCGCCCGCGCCAGCCATGGCGGCCGCCGGCCTGCCTGATCTCGACCTCAGACAGATAAAAACGCGATCCATCGAGAGAACTCTGCTCCCCCTCATTAAACAGGTACGGTACGCCTCCTACCGACCCCCAGCCGTCACCTTCCTACCTCAGGCGGTTGCTTCGAGGTCTGTGACGTTCCTGATTACCGACAGAATACGTCTACGACACTGATCTGACGTCGCGTGGAGCTTTTACGATATCTAGTTTTACGTACCTCGTCTAAATTCGTAGTATTATTTTCGGAACTAAAGCGATTTAGAGCGTGTCGTCGCTTTGACGTTTCACTTTAGAATTTCCCGCCCGTCGCAACTATCTGTTGCGTTCAGTCGCGCAATCGCCTTGCGAGAGTTCACGGACGGCGGCGGATTCGAATGGACGGAGCATAGTTTGATACTTCGACTGGGCAGATTTCTATGATAATAGCCATTATTTTTAAGACTTCATTGTGGTGATATTTGAATTAGAAAATTCGAAAAGGTAAGAAAAAAAATCATCACGTACGTCAATTTGTTTGGTACTTAATCAGTGCTGATAAAGTGCTGAGGGCGGGCGGCCACGTGGGTATTGAACGGGCGGGGGCGGGGGTTGTGGATCGATGGCCGACGGGCCGGCAGTGCCGCGGCGAACGCGGGCGGAGCGGCTCGGTGCCGACACGGCAACGTCACGGAGCACGTGCGCGCGCCCGCGGACAGCGCGCCGTCGAGCGCGCGCCCACCGCCCGCGCGTCACGCGCTCTCTCTCTTGCGACATGGACGTGCTTTCCGATGACGATGAATACGCGCGCCGCGAACGACAGGTAGGCTCTTCCTTAATGAAACGAAACTTCTACTATGAGCTCCTGCATCGTTTTTAACACGATCAGTTGTCGTGGTCTTACCCTGATAAAATACAAACAGCAACAANGCGCCGTCGAGCGCGCGCCCACCGCCCGCGCGTCACGCGCTCTCTCTCTTGCGACATGGACGTGCTTTCCGATGACGATGAATACGCGCGCCGCGAACGACAGGTAGGCTCTTCCTTAATGAAACGAAACTTCTACTATGAGCTCCTGCATCGTTTTTAACACGATCAGTTGTCGTGGTCTTACCCTGATAAAATACAAGCAGCAACAAGTAGCGGCATGTGGGTAATTTTCAACGACGACGTTAAACGGAGTACAGACCTAGCGTTGCTCGTATCCCGGGCAAATCATGCAAATGAAAAGTAGATCTTAGACTAGACTACTTTGTCTAGATTATATAACAAAAAAAAACTTTTTTGTTTTCCTTACATTAAACTTGGGCGTATAAATGTAGAGCATGTTTTTTTGTAAAGCTATTTTTTTAAAGTACTTTGCAAAATTAGATTATTTTTGGCTTATATGTATTACAGCTATCACATTTTATAATCTTACTAGCGACCCGCCCTCGCTTCGCTTCGGAAACATTATAACACACATGAAACAAAAAAAAAAATATTAAAAAAGTAGCCTATGTTCATCAGGGACAATGTCGGCTTCTAATGGAAAAATAATTTTTCAAATCGGTCCAGTAGTTTCGGAGCCTATTCGAAACAAACAAACAAACAAATCTTTCCTCTTTATAATATTATTAGTTTAGTATATTAGTAAGTATAGATTATAGTAAAACTACATCTAAACAACATTTTTTGGTTATTTAAAAAAAATTCACCTATTTAAAAAAGTCCGAAAATTGCATTTATAATATGACCAACATGTAAGCCAATCTAAAAGTTTTATAAATTTTAATACTTTCGCAATTCTTCAAATTAAAAAATAAGTTCGTCGCTACACGAACACCGTAAGAATGTATCGAGTGCTTATTTAATAATAAAACTACCAATGCTCGCCATCATTTAAAAAGTTTGGATAATAATCGCCTTTTATGTAATGTTAGAGCCGTTTACAAAAAATCGTACTATTGATTAAGATTTTCATGAATCGGTTTTGGCTCACGACATTTATCTTTGTTTACCACGTATGCGTCTGTGCCAGACCGACACTGTGAGTAAGGTCTCGTTGTTTTATGTTATACTCTTATTAATTATTAAAGAAAAGATTTTTATTCACTAAATACAACGTGTAGTTAAGACAATTACGCAATTAAAAATATCAATTATGCAATATTTGTATAATGAACGATGCTACTTCATAAAGCAAATACGGCAAATACGTTTTTCACATTGAGTTATCCCACCAATAATGAATTGACTTTACATTTTTTTATGAACTTTTTCTTAACTGGCTTAGAGAACAAAAATATGCAGACAAAATGATCAGCACAAGATATATTACAATACTGATAGATTACAATACAATACGGTACTAAAAACACACACAACGAAATGTTTTTAAGACTATCAAGCATAAATAAACAAAAATTTGATATATTTTAGATATTTACGATTCAATCTCACATTTATTATTTTTATTTTACAATTTCAGATTGTTTAATACTCAACAGTTTTCGTGCTCAAGGGCTAGGATTTTTTTTATTGCTTATATGGATGAACGAGCTCACAGCCCACCTGGTGTTAAGTGGTTACTGGAGCCCATAGACATCTACAACGTAAATGCGCCACCCACCTTGAGATATAAGTTCTATGAGTCTCAGTAGAGTTACAACGGCTGCCCCACCCTTCAAACCGAAACGCATTACTGCTTCACGGCAGAAATAGGCAGGGTGGTAATACCTACCCGTGCGGACTCACAAGAGGTCTTACCACCAGTAATTACGCAAATTATAATATTGCAGGTTTGATTTTTATTACACGATGTTATTCCTTCACCGTGGAAGTCAATCGTGAACATTAATAGAAGTTATGTTTCTGTTTTTAGTATTAATAATTATTATTAATTTCCGCGACTGGCCAAATCCAAAAGTTAAGAAAAAAAAACTATGTTTATTATTATTTCATTGCTGCGTAAAAGATAAAAGTCCAGTTTCATTATCTGTTGGTAACATTTCATATATTTTCATTGCACTAACTGGTAGACTGTTTAGAAAATGTCTTTCTATGTATTAATCAGCTATCGGTACCGCAGCGAATATTGTAATATGTAGTTCTATGAGCACATATTTAGATGACATATTCTAGAAATTTCGAAAGAGGTAATATCTGATTTTATGAGATTCATATATTAGGGGTTAAAGTATGAAATTGCCGACTGGTACTGAAAAGTTGTAATTGGTTTTTTTTTTTCATTTAACATATTTATTTGATCAAAATATCTACCATTATTTTCTATACATTGCTGCCAATCTAATAGGAAGGTCATTTATGCCTTTGCGATAGAACTCTGGTGATTTAGATTCTACAAACTATGTGAAAGCATTTTGTACTGCATCCTGGGAAGAAAACTTTTTATCACGTAGAAAATTATCCAAATAACGAAAAAAACTGTAGTCTAGGTAGAAGCAAGGTCTGGCGAACACTGAGGGTGACGAATGGTTATTAATTTCATACTTTAACCCCTTTTATACTGTTTTGTTCAATAAACGACTAGCAAAAAAGTAGGGTATATAAATAATAGTTTAAATTAACTAACAAAATCGCTTTTATAGAAAGTCCAACTAAAAAATAGGAAATAAATTTTAATTAATTTGTATTAAAAATAGTGCAAGAAAAAACGATTTTATTGTGAAAAAAGCGTGGGGTGCTTTTCAGAATATTATCAAAATAGCCCTTCTACTCATATCTGTTCATAAAATATTTATAACTACTGATACCATGCACCCCACGCTTTTTTTTACAATAAAATCATTTTTTCTTACACTATTTTTAATTCAAATTTATTAAAATTTATTTCTATTTTTTAGTTGGATTTTCTATAAAACGTTAGTTGTTAGTTTTTTTAAACTATTATTTATTTTTTAGTTGAACTTAATTTTTTTCAATGTATTTTTTTTATTATTTATTTTTTTATTTATGTACACAGAAAAAAGAAAACATACTACAGAGTAATAGGAAAATTATGTACAAAGGCACTGCTTATTTCTTTAAGAAATCTCTTCCAGCAGACCTGCGAGAGGATTGTGAGAATAATAATTAAAAGTGATGAGTGTGTGTAGAACAGCTAAAATAACAAATACAACATGAGAATTATAGTAATGCACTTACATACACATAGCAAATATTGTTAAACTTGAATACAAAATATTATTCATTGTGATGTAAATATAACTACTAACATAGGTCTAAGTCTTATTAACAATTTATATGAGTCATGGATACTTGAAATAAAAACATTATTATTATTATTATTATTATTATTATAAGTAACACAGTAGGTATATACGAAGAGTATATAAAGATGATCATTCGGTTGATGAGAGATTAAAATTGTTTGACCTTGTATTTAAAAACAGAAACATTACATAATTTTTATGTAATGTCCTTAATAAGTATACCTAATTTCCGACGTTTTGAAGGGGGTCAAAATCATGTTCAAAGATTCCGTTACATACTAACATACATATGTCTGAAGCTACTAATAAAAGCGTATTACAAAGCGATAATTTCGCAACAGATCAGCAATCTCGTGGCGACGCGGAACGAAGCTGCTGGAGGCGGTGCGGCCGTGCAGCGAGTGGGCGCCGCTGTCTGCTGCGCCGTTGAGCGCTTCGTGGCCGTCGGCGAGACCATCGCTGACGACAACCCCGATGTGAGGCACAACATGGTACTCGCCTGTAAAGAAGCTAGAGCAGCGGGTAACTATCCATAATTATACTACGCGTTTCCTAAAAAAAATAAGATGTGTGGGACTCCGGATAGGAACGAAGTTCCTTATTATAAAAATATTAATTTTAAGTTCTATTCAAGGTAGAAAGAAAATAAAAGTGGAGGTTTCGCAACAACCCACGGTCATTCGGTAACGTGCGCACTTATTGTGGTACACTTCATTCACAGTTGTTTGCATAAGAGTTAGTGTATTGCGTAAACGAACGCTCTGAGATCGTGGTCAATGAGTGATAAAAAAATATGTTATTTTTTGTACGTTATTACAAAATTAAGTCGTACACTGTGTGCATTACTAATTTGTAGGTTATTACAAAGTTAAGTCGTATACTGTGTGCATTACTAATAAAATTACGTTACGGACGTTTTTCCCGGTTAGGGTACCCCTCCGCATCGTCCCATAAGGAACTTCGTTCCAAAAACTACACCAGACGGAACGGACAATTTGTACCGGTCGTTTCTGACATTTTTAATATCGAAACATTCAATTTAAAAAAAAATGTGTGTAATGCACATGTGGTAGAAGTAAAACCTTCAAAAAGTTTGGCTTAAAGATAATGAGACGAATACAAAATTTCGAAAAAATGATAATTGTATAATAGGTTTTAGTAATGATCATAGTGATACAAAGTTAGACAATTATTTGAAATTTTATTCGTATATATTACATAGATTTATTCAGAATGTGTGAAGTACGAATATTAGGTATGAAGCAGAGCATAAAGAGAACCACTAATATAAGAAACAACTGTACAATGCTTTCTATCTCCTTTTCTCCCAGGTTAAATATTATGAATTTAAGTGTCTGTCTCTTTTTACAGTAGCTTTTTGGTTTCATCGACTATCAAATCACAAAGATGGTAAAGATTTTTTTTAAAAACTTACAAAAAAAATTGACACTGTCACGGCGATATAACGTAACTTAAAATCAGCTGATGCGCGAGGTTAATAATGGTCTGATGTGACACGGTTTACGAAGTATCAACTTGCGTAGTCTACTAGTAAATAATTGATGGATTGTGTTTTATTTGAGGTAATAGATGATTAGCGCAATATATTCCGCACTTTTTAATTATTTCCCTATCTTTACCCTTTTAAATATACACTAAAAATCAGTTTACTTATAATTTTTGCAATCACGGTAAGGATAAATAATTTTTAACACCAGAAAATGTAGAATATAATTACTAAAACATCAAACTAAGCCGCTAATCGATCTTTAATAATGAAGTTATGATAATCGATAATTAAATAAATGAAATATATTCATATTACTTTAAAAGATGTTACTGAAACAATGCAGTATTCATGTATGCAGACATTACCTAAGTCAAAAAAGGACAGTTTTATTGTTAACCACATCAGAACCAAAGTATTTCAAAACAATGCCATAACGTCTCTTTTGTCCCAGAGGCAAAGTATACAATACAAAAAAAGTTAAAGAAAAGCTCCAAAAGGAAAACCATACAATTACTTAAACATTAATTAAGCTTAATTAGAGTCATTCTACCATTTCGTTTTATTGTCTTTGGTAAGAGAACGAACATAAATTTGCATACAAATGAAGCAACTTTTGGATAGTTTACTCTGCGTTCGCCATTTCGGTGAAATAGTTTCTTAGGTTATTTCATTAAAACTTCACAAAGGCATCAATTTTGGGTCAATAAGCTCTCTAATTTCTATTAATCTGAACATTCATTAAACTTGTAAAACTAGTCAGTTGGTACGAACCTCTTAAAATAAATTAACTTAATAAAATTTTACAAAAAAATGCTTTCAAACAGCCGATAAAGATACATCATTAATTGATAATTTAAATTTAATTAACCTTTATTAACAACTTATTATTATTATTATTATGTATTCTATTCTATTATTACTATATAAAAACTTATTATATTATTAACAACTCTTAAGACGATACAAAATATACATAATACCAATAGAATAATGATTATATTATGATGTTTTGTCACATAGTAAGTACATCCTAAAAGATACTAAATTCCGAATTCGCTCCCGAAATTTTTATTAAAAGTCGTTTAATAAATTAACGCAAAATGACCAAATGGAAAGCATCGAGATTAAATCCGGGCCGTTCGTATAATTCAGAAGGTTTTTAATCAAGGCTTGCGTGACCTATAAATCTTTCGATATCTCTATTGTGTTGGCTTAAAGGGCCGATATCTATCGGAAAATGGAAAAGGTGCATGAGCTTCGTGCAATCATAATGAAACGGCAGCGGCTTGGCTCTGCTCCTGGCATTGGTGGAGTCTATGGGCGACGGTAACCACTTACCATCAGGTGGGCCATGCGCTCGTCGCTCGTCTGTCTACAAAGGAAAAAAAAAGATTAAGTAATGATTTTTTTATATTCAATTTACATTTAGTCACTGTTTGGTCTGCAAACCTTTTTTTGCTACATGCAATACATACATTTAGTCATTTGTCACATATTAAACTGCAGAAGAGGGTTGCTCGAGTGATCGATTTTGCTTGCTACCTCTGAGTTTGCAGAGGGACTCAATGAAACCATGGGCACGTCATTTAGCTCTGATTATATATCGGTTAAGAACTTTACTATACCGTGCCATTAACTGCCTCCGGGAACTCTCTAAGAAATTGCTTTAGAAAATCCCGTCATATTCTTTCTTTGAAAGATTTTCTTCGGTGTTCATGTGCGGTATTCTAATACAAACCATTTTTGTAATGTCATTACCATGATCAATGATCCATGATGCCTTTCGATTAGATGAACAATATGCTTCTCTGATTAATGGGTAATAAAATAAAGCGTAATAATACATATTTTTTTTGTATCCTATTCGTTTTCAGAATGAATCTCTATAGTCTTGTGTACAGTCTTCAATTTAAAGTTTCATCGGACCATTTCGGGTGGGACGACCAAACCGCCAAAGTTTGAATTAAATTAATATTAGTTACTTTCACTTAGATTACAGTTTGCTTGCTTAGTGATTATGATTTGAATACAGTCAGTATATATTCAATTTGAATGAAATGAATAATTTTTGAAAGTTCAAATTTTCAAAATTATTTAGGATTTTTTTTGGTTTTGTTCAGAAAATTTGAAAGAACTATAACTGAGAAAAAGCGTTGCACACTTGAAACTAGATCTATATATATATATATAAGTCTATGTATGAATGTAGATACATATATATAAGATATATTCCTAAAGGCTCCGAAACAGCTGCACTGATTTCAGCTAGATTTTCAGGAAATCTTTAGATTGTTCCACCGGGTGATAACTATGATGTTTAGTAGCGATCGAACCTAAGGTCAAATCACAAATCAAATCGTCTAGCAAAGCGAGCCCGTGTCGACTAGTATTTACATGAATGCTATCTAGTTGATATTAGTTGATATTTAGGTATACAATTGGACGGTTTTTAAACAGTCCAATTTGTTTTTCGAATCAATAAAATTCAAATTACACCTCGTTTTTATATCCACACAATTATATATTTACGAAAAACCCGTGCAACCCGTTCTAAAAGCCCTCATAAATTTGTGTCAACAGCCTGACCCGAATTTTAATGGTCGAACGTTATTACCGGATCCAGCATGCCAACAAACAAAAGACGCAAACAATAGCCACTCCCGCCCTCTGCTGCGGAACAATCATCAGCTCTCTATTTAATGCCAATTCTCATTCGATATTTTCGGCTGTCTCTGCCAAATTAACATAAGCCTAGATATGCGACCACGGACCGAATGACATTTGCTTGAATGCAATTGAAAATAAAATAAACTGAGCAGAGAACTCAGAATATAAACTATCAGCGAACATAATGAAGTATTTTAAGAGTTTTTATTTTTCAAACCAACTTTAAAATACGTTCGGGCTTAGAGGGTTGGACAATCGTTATACTACACAATTGAGACTTAGACGTGGTGATATCTATAGGCTCCAATTGCCATTTAACACCCATAGAGTCGTGAGTTTTTTCATTCGTCTACGCAATAAATTAAATATAGCTATTAATAAAGTACACATGGCAAGTCTAATTTACTTTTAAACTAAAATAAAAGTAAACTAGAATCGAAACTATACTGAGATCTTAGAACTTATATCTCAAGGTGGGTGGCGCATTTACGTTGTGAATGTCTATGGACTCCAGTAACCACTTAACACCAGGTGGGCTGTGAGCTCGTCCACCCATCTAAGCAATAAAAAAAAAGAAAAAGAAACAAATTCTAATTAATAAGCCAAATAATTGATCTTTAAATAGAAAATTAGATAATTTTGTTTGTCATACCTACAAGTGTCGTTTGGAAATAAAACTAAATCTATGATAGCTTATGAAATGTTATAACAGCATAGAAAATAATTAGTTTGAAATACGTCGACTGCCCACGCAATGATGCGATAACATCAGTATAACTTCTGTATAAATTAGATTCTTTTGATTCTATTTTCAAAGGGTCACATTTACGACTAATATTTTATTAAAGGCAAGATCCCCGAAGCTATTGAATTAAATATTTGATTAAAAGTTTCAAAATTTAGAAAAAAACGTATGTGGGATAGTAAATAAATTATTAATGAATATTTAAGTAAGTGGAAGATACCAATCAATCTGTCTACAAATAAATTCGATCTGTTTAGGCTTTAAACTACCCGAACCTATATTATTGAATATTTGACTCATGTATTTAACCAACTGTTCCTAGTCTTTGTTAACCGACTTCAAAAAAGGAGGAGGTTCTCAATTCGACTGTATATATTTTTTTATGTTTATTACCTCATAACTTAGTCAAAAGTTTGGTAAATCGATTTTGATGATTCTTTTTTTTATTAGAAAGCTGATGCTTCCTGTGTGGTCCCATTTCAATTTAGTCCAGTTCTGATAATGGTATCCATGAGAAAACCATATAAGTCTTAAATATGCATTAAGTACGTGCGCGACAAATAGATGAATAACTCAATAACTCAATATCACGCAAACCGA